TAGGCTTGAAGAAGGCAAATGGTGTATCATTGAGAAAATAGCTATATCACCTCAAGAAAGCGAAATCGTTCGGCAAAATGTATGATATTCTTATAGTAGAGATTCTGAGCAATCGAATGCTGCAAAGATATCCATATGTAACCAGACAAACCTGAGAGTACCGGTACCTTGAAGATCGCAACGCCCATGGTGCTATAATAATGTATAAAATTGATCTATAGTGATACAATGTATACAACTGATCTATAATGATACAGTCGGTTGAACCGACTCAACTCAAACTTGGGTAATTGGGAGATTGTAGTGATCGGTTCAATCGCCTCATGTAAGCAAGATCGCTTGACAACATGTATGTATTCATGAATCTAGAGGCTTCTTTAGAATCGAATGGTGTGGAGAAATTGGTATCTTACTGAGAAATCCTAGAGTGCCGTTAGCTTGATACTGGCTATGTTGATACAGTGTATTATAGAAAACAACTTGCAGTTTGAACAATTAACAGTAATAATTAGATGTATTTATGTAATATCATCATTAAATCAAGTCATCAGTACAGAACAATCAGATTTGCAGCTTCTTATTGTAAGCGGGCAATCATAACACATGAAATATGTCAACTCAAACAAATACTGTCATCAGCACTGAGTAAGAGATCATCATCGTCATCACTGTCGTAAACTTCTTCAATATCAAAGTGATCCTCTTGCATCGCCTTCTGAGAGTCACCGAATTTCAGTGGTTGGTAATGTGATGTGGCATCGTCATTGCTGCTATCATATTTTCCACTTCGTTGAGAATCTTCCTTATCGACAGCGTAGTGGTAAGACTCCTTTGAGGTTAGCATGGCGAGAAGATGTCGTTGCGAGACGTCCAGCGAGGCGTGAAAATACAGCAGCAAAGGAAGATGTCTGAATGAAAAAACAAGGAAGATATCTGAATGAGAGTGTTCAATGATTGATAATAATGTCTTGGTAATGATGATAATCTCAACAGCAACAGTGATAATGGTATCAGTAGTGATGATAATGAAAACAATAATAATATCAATAACTGGCAGTAATAATTAACAGATCAATTATTAATTAAAGAGCAATGATCAATGATTACAATTTAAATAAGTCGCCAAACGTTAATTGTGGGAAAATATTACGTGCTTCTTTTGTGAGCGTTTCAATTCGACTTTTCGTGGCCATCCAACGTGGCTTTGTGAATGTATGCATACCTCGGCCTGAAATNAAGAGCAATAATGATCAATGATTACAATTTAAATAAGTCGCCAAACGTTAATTGCGGAAAAATATTTCGTGCTTCTTTCGTGAGCGTTTCAATTCGACTTTTCGTGGCCATCCAACGTGGCTTTGTGAATGTATGCATACCTCGGCCTGAAATGTGTTTGTTTGCTGAAGCAGTATGGAAAGATCTGGTCGAAGAAAGAATTTCAAAACACTGATGATTTTATGGAAAGAAAAGCTGACGTACCCGAAGTATTTTTGCAACCATAATTGTAAAAAATTGCCGATCTTGCAGCGACCTGAAACGAGATTCATGGCAAGATACATTTTCAGTTGGTTCATTCAAAAAGATTATGTGTTCAAACGAGAGGAATTTCAGTTGTCTGTATGAACATTATTTAAAGATTTTCAATATCGCCTGTAGAAGGATTAAAAAGATATTGGACACTTACTAGTAACGTAAATCTTGAATTAATTAGAAATTAAGTGGAGATTTGCGACAAACCTCCGCTTCATAATCAGCTAACGATGTGTTGGTGCGAATATCCCAAGCACCCAAAGCTGAGTCCAACAAACTGAGATTTTCATACACTTTGCGAATTTCGAACACAGATTTCGCAAAATACGGTTCATGTTCTTCGATATACGAGACGATCTGAACACAACAATATGAAATAATCATCGTTTGTGAAATCTAATCGATGTATTGCTTCACTCTTGATAATTTGATCTATTGGGAAGCCGAATTGATTGATATGAATTCGTTGATAATGTTCACTGATTGAATACAGTAGAAAATGTTATTGACAATGGGTGTGTCACACAATTTCAAAATTATTTCAATTTTCAAATGAACCTAGAGTTATTCCAACAATTTGAAGAAGATTTCATGTTTGTCAGCAGAACACGAGAACTTTCAATCAATTTCTTNAATTTGTGGAAAGAATCATTGAGAAAGTTTTCGGTCGAAAGATTTTTAAAATTTTCGAAAGAAAGTCTTGATAGCAAGGTTTTATGGAAATCTTAGTTCCGGAAAAAAGGATTCCATGCAATTCGAGAACCAGAATTTGTGGAAAGAATCATTGAGAAAGTTTTCGAAAGAAGGATTTTTGAATGTTTTCGAAACGAAGCTTCAATAGTAAGAAGTGGTGGAAGTTTAATCTACAAGTGAGAGCCTCTTTACCCTAATATTTATGGTCTGCATTCAAGAAGTTCAAACAGGATAGAGATTACATATCGATATTGTCAGATCTACAATTAATCAAGTACAGGTATAACGTAGATTAGATAAAATTTGTGATATTCATGTCAATTTCAGTAGATAAACACACCATATCACCGCTCATCGCGGTCTTCTGTATCACATCATCCAAACAATCTTTTGGTGGAGTGTCTCTAAGAAAATGTTTCTTTAGTGATTCGCTGAGTAAATTCTCGCTTTCCGTCCATTCTTCATTTGTGGTTTCAGCCCTGGAATTTAACGACTATATTAGAGATGAGCATTTACTGCGATCTTTTGAATAAAAGCCCGTTCTCTCGAATAAAACCTTCCATTCTCGCTCTCATTTCAATAGAAACCCATTTTTTAATGTCTATTAAAAAAACAGGAGCTGCGAAGTCTGTTTCAAGGAAAACTTCAGCACATCAACGATGAGAAAGCCTGTTTGACACCAATTCATAAAATCGTTGACTATGTAGAGTTTGTTAAATTTTCATGCAGATGATTTTCGCTAGAATTACTTTCATCTCAGCCAAATGTTCTTTTGAACAAATCAATTTGCAATGCGATGAATTGGTTTTTTTCAAGAAACGTCTCATTGCAGTGACCTTTTTGCGTATAGAATTTTCCCAATCGAATGAAACGAATCAGTTTGTGATGATGAACCAAACAAGTTGATATCTTTAAGCAATTTTCCATCGGCACCAATTGAAAGTTGAAGATTATTTAGCGCACAACGAATATCACCTTGACATATAATTACATAATTGTTAGTATTATCTTTATCATTACTACGATCAGCGCTGCTATCATGTTATACTTAATGTTATCATCATATTATTGTTACCATTGATACTGCCATCATTATAATGATTGCCCTGGTCACTAACAGGTCGACTTCATTTCATCTGAGATCCAATGGTAGGAAAACATCTTTAATGTTATTAAGTCTGAGCCAGGCAGTGGTTCAGCTCATAGCTAATTACATCTATCTAATTACTTGCAAATAACTATTGTCATTATTATGATTGCCATTGTTCCAAGCGATCGAAAAGCAGAAGAAACCTGATATATTACGAATAAACAACTGAAACTGTGTGATTGTGAACTACTGATCACACTAAGCATGCTAACAGAAACACTATTTTATACCATTCGACGATTCAGCGATGCGTTTGATTAATGACGGTGTTGCGTTTCGAATATGCAGATCACCCAGAACGCGTCGAATCGCTTTTGTTAGAAATGTGATCGCTGACGGATTGAACGCAATTGTATCGAATTGAATTTGACGCAGTAAATTAGTGGGAAATAAACGACGATAGTTCAACGCCCAACATGAGTCGATAGTGCTCAAAATGAACACAAAAATACATCGCGATTGGGCTGCAAGTGTGCGCAATACTGCATGGAGTTGCGTTGGTTCACTGGAAATTTGTTCAAATTTCTTTCCTTAAAGCGGATATAAGAAAGGATATTGAAACTGATGATGCTCGATTAAGTAATTATCATTCCTCTTTCAGTGAACGAACATGAACTTATTGAATGCATCCAAATTGCTAAATCCAACTTAAAGATGATTGTGAGTCAGCAAAATTCTTGGGCAAGACGCTTATATGATTATAGGATTTAAAATTACGCGCGAGTACTAAAACAAATTAATAGAAAAGAAGGAGGATAAGACGTCTCGTACCGATAGAAAGCATTGGGCAGTTGTTCGATCAAGACCACTTTTTGCGAGTGAGAATGCTCCAGAGAACTGTGATCAACTGATCTCAAAAAATCCGCGAATACACGCACCTAAAAGTTCAATCAGATGATCAACAAGCACCTGCAGATCAACCACTGATGCAGAAGAAGATTACATTTCTATGTGGGATCATCCACTGAAATTACCTTATTTTTATCACATTACATGCGCACATTTACATTTGTTTTACATCCATTCAACAACCACTGACGTACCTGACATTTTTATACCAATCGTCGAATGGTATAAAAATCTTACACTGTATTGTACAACATGCCCAATGACATTAAAAAATTAATATGCTCACATCATCCCATAAACAATCTAAATCGAACAACCTGAGATTGTTCAGCGATGATTTCATCACCACTCTCATCGACCATAAAGTCAAAGTGGTCGTTCCCTTCCCATTCAACCAATTCCATTCGTAACTCTTTACAGAGCACTTTTACGGTTGCCGTTTTACCACTCCCGCAAGGGCCGGTCAGCAACAGAATTTTAGTTCTTCGTATTCCATTTCGATGATTCAACAACCACTGACGTACCTGACATTTTATTACAGTTCCCATATACTTTGAATAAACCTAAGTTCAGCTCATTAATTCCAAATCCCTGATCTCTAATCTTAACTCCGCACAGTCCCAACTTTCCAAACCCTTTGGTNTTCGATGATTCAACAACCACTGACGTACCTGACATTTTATTAAAGTTCCCATATACTTTGAATAAACCTAAGTTCAATTCATTAATTCCAAGTCCTTGATCTCTGATCTTAACTTCGCACAGTCCCAACTTTCTAAACCCTTTGGTATCTCAATCAGAATACGAACTGAATCACTTCAATCTCCTTAAATGGTGTGTTGCAAACATTGATAACACACGTTGACGTATGTTGGATGAAATTCGGAGAAACCTGATCAGTCTTTTTACTATGAACTGCTAACTGATCAGCACTGATCGGTTCAAATCGATCAATAAACGATACGCTTGCGCTTTGATCATTTCTTGATTCAGAGATCACTCCTCCTCCATTCGACTTCGATGATGTTTCGCATATTAATTCCACTTCATCATCGTCAACATCCATTATTTGGACAAACTGAATACCAATAGGTTTTGAAATACACATAAACCTTGCGGAGTATATCTCTGACTAGAATTTGAACTTATGAGATAACCGAAATGCGCATAAATAGAAAGTTGGGGAATTATCAATGGAAGAATTTTAAGATTTGAAACAAGTGATGTGAAACCATTGATATTGGTACACTGATCGTAAAAGATCAACCGAAAATAGAAAAACAGTAAAAAAGTGGAAGAATATCGCTTTGTTGAAAAGAAACATTTTCATCTTCTGAATCGCTTTTCGTTGGCTTTTTGTTCGCTGATTTCGTGGATTTCAAATTTTTCGACCGATTCGCAGACAACATCAAAGATGAACGCGATGACACCGCATCATTTTCAGAATTCTCGTCAAACGAACACGAGAACCATCGCTTCAAACTGTTTCCGCACTTTGTTCCGACTTTCTTCGGCATCACCTGATCACCTGCAATATTCCCTCGCTGATTTACATAACCTCATACAGCCTCAGATTATCGAGAATTCGGTTCAGTCATCATTTCACGAATCATTTATGACAGATGAATCAATTTGTGCATACCGACAACAACCTGCCGACAACAAACTTTATCTGTCCTAATCCAAATCGCCCATACTCTCACTCCGCTAATCTTAATCTTGCCTTAACTTAACTTATTCAGTACTGCCTATTTTCAGCATGAAATCGCCCATGAATTATTCATCGAATTATTTGTTTAAAACCGCTGAATCTGCATTACAAGCTAAACGCTCTCGATGTGAATAAGAATTTAACCATCAACCGAATTTTATATACAAATTTCAATTTGTGTAACTTTCTAAGAGCCTCTTACAGCTGCACTTTTGATTGCAACTCAATGTTTTGAAGTTCGAATTTGAGATAATTGAACGTGATCGCCTGAAGACGATCCTGATGCTCGAAT